AATGAAAGTGTTAGTATTTTATATAATAAAAATAGAGAGGTAGGGTTTTTTGAGGAGTCTTAGGTATGATGTCTAAAGACTTTAGCTTTAGACATATTCATTTTGAAATCTCTGTGAGACATCCAGATAGAGTTGTCAATTAGACATTTGTATATATGAGCCTGGAGCTCAAAGAAAAGATTTACTATATTTTACAAAGAAAAAGATGAGAGCAGTTAGCATTTACCTGATTAACCCCTTCTCATCCTGTATATCTCTGCTATATTTCTCTTATGTCAAGAAACCTTCCTGTCTCAACTCAAAGAGTGATATGGTTGCCTTTCATTTCTTAAGAGTTGTAGCTACCCCATCATAGCTCTGACTATGCTCTATACCATTTTATCTCTTATACTATACTTTAAAAGTTTTGAGTAGAAAGGCTGTCTATTGCTCATGATTCTGCAGTGTCTGTACATAGTAGGTATTGAATAAATGTTTGCTGAGCAAATGAACAGATGAAGGAACAAACTACCATATTTAACCTTGAAATGAAGTCTTATTGAGGAGAATTCTGCTTTTACCTATTCTATTATACATTATTTGGTCTTAATAATAAGGTGACAACATATGTAAAATCCCAAAGATTCACTATAATCCCCTGGACTAGTCCTTTAATTGGATCTACAAGTAGAAATGGGCCCTTGGACACCTCTATCTTTATAAAATAACTTTAGATTTAAAAAATAACCAATATATTTTGTGATGAGTGAATAGAGGGGTTTTATCCACTTAGCTAACCTATTTCCTCTCCCCCAAAGATTCTAGATTCTTGTGATAGCCAGTGGATAAGTGGATAACTTCTGTATGTATATATGTGTATATATATTATATGTCATATAATATATACCCAAACACATCTGTGGTTTTTCATCCTGCAGTGCCTCCGATGGGCTTTCCTGTATTTTATAGTTACCTTGACCGCTTCTGTAAAAGCAGCTTGGTCAATACCAAAGTTCTAATTAATATGCTCTATTCAATTGACTAGGGCAGTGGGGATGACTTGGGATTGGTATAATAGACTTAGAACAACACTCAGCACTTGAATGAGCCACTTTCTAACCATGTACACTTGACAAGTGAATGAATTCTCTGAGATCCAACTTCCCCACCTATAAAATGCAGATAATAACTACTTATATAGTTATGACAATAAAGGTGACTGGTGGGCAGTCATTTATTGTGAAAAGCTTTGAGCACTTATAATGTATTGTTAACTATGATACGTGCTGGATATTAAAAATAAGCAAGATACAGAAGTCATGGGGGTTGCTGCCCTCATGAAACTCGTGATCTCCAGGGAGTCGGGATACAACAAGCAACTCAAAATCATTAAAGATTTTGATAAGAACTGTGCAATTACAAACAGACAATGTAATAGAAAATAATGGACATGGTTTCTGCTTTATGCACGGTATTTAAGAAGGCCAATAAGGTGATATTTAATGAAGAAGAAGCAGCAGGCCAAGAGAGCAGCAAGGAACATTCTAGACATATGGAACTGCAAGTTTAAAGGCCTTGAGGGAAGAGATTATGTGTACGTGGAATTCTTGGGTCCAAGGGCTGGAGCACTGAGTAGCATGAGGTCAAGTCAGATAGATTCAGGCCCATCACACAGGACCTTTTAAGCTGTAGAAAGTATTAGGCAGCTGTTGAGTGATTGTAAGCAGGAAAGTGACATGGTGTAATTCACATTGAAAAGATCTTTCTGATTGCTGTGTGAATAGAGCGGAAAGGGAGGAGGAAATGGGTAGCTTGGACTAGCATAGTAGCCTTGAAGATGGAAAGAAATAGACATATTCAAAGTATATTTTTGATACAGAATTGAAAGGACATGCTGAATCATTAGGTGGGAAGGAGTGAAGGAAAGGGAGAATCCAGGATGGTTCTGGGTCCATTACTGAGATGGGGAAAATTAGAGGAGGAGCAGATTGGGAGTGAGTGTGAAAACTCAAAAGATCTGTTTTAGATATGTTAATTTTAAGATCTTTGAGGAATAGGGTGACCAACCATCCTGGGTTTCCCTGGATATTGCTGGTTTTAACACTGAAAATTCCATGTTCTACAAAACACCTCACTCCTGGGCTACTGGGATAGTTGGTCATCCTACAGAGACATCTAAGTCAAACAGGGACATGAAATAAGAGTCTGAAGATCAAAGAATAAGCTCTGAGTTCTTTAGATGTCATCTTTGTTTAAATGATAATTTATTTTCATTATTTTAAATGAAGTATCTGTTAAACAATTTAATAAGTGTTAGAAGCCCCTTCAAATAAACATAATATCTCTGCAGTGGGCTAAAATTAGGCCTTTTAAATAGGAGAGCATCTGTAATAGAACATGTGGGCCTCGCTATCTAATGCTGCAGTATTGTTCCTGGGAGAGTTGAAATGGCTAGTAAGCTATAAAGTGAGTCTTAAGGGGGAGTCCAGAAGCCACAGCTGGACCAAAGGGAGGATTGTAAGTTTCCAAAGTAGCTAGTATTATTTATGGCTTCTTGGTGAGCTCATTAGCATTTGAGATTATCTCATTAGATCCCACTTCTTTAAACTCAAATTGACAGATGACTTTCATCTTTACTGCTGAAAATGCATTAAATATTAAAACTTCCAAGGTGAAGACATGTCTAGAGAGAACTTTATTATGATTCTTTCTGAAATTTTTACATATGATGTTTAGTCAGAGACCATACTAAAGCTGAGAAATCCTACAGTATTGCCCTATCAGTACAGATATTGCTACTGAGTAATTTTCTTCTTCTTCCATCTATGGATAATTTTTGGAGATAATCACTTCTGGGTCACGTAGTATCCTTTGAGCACTGGAAATAAATGAATCATCCCATAGTTCTGATATTAGTGCCTATTTATGTCCCTTTTTTTTCTTTTGAAAATCCAGAATTGGTGCTGACTCATATACCCATTTTCTCTCTCTCCTCCCTCCCT